GAATGAACCTCAAGAAAGGAACATAATCCTGCCAACCTCTTGACTTCAGCCCATTATATGCATGAGGAGTCTGAGGCTTAACGATGTTAAGGCACTTTCCTAGGATCACACAGCCCTTGTTCCACATTTGAATCCAGGTCTGTCAGACTCCAAACAATGATTATATTCTGCTGTTAGAAATTTACATGACCACTTTATATTGTAAATTAATGATGACATCTATCAATGCCAAAAGAGGCAATCTAACTCTCAGCTCCCAAGGCGAAGGTTGACCTCTGGTCTTACCTGAGGCAATTGCTTGTGCTGATAAATGCATTCCTAGGGAGTGCATATGGCCCCATGCTGCTAAAATCTGTGGGAACTTATATCATTACTAACTGTGAAATTTTAATACAAGGTCTAGGAGCTTTGAGAGAGCAAGATGAACAAAGGGCTTGTAAAAAGGGCAATAATGCTTAAGGTGTGTTAGCTATGGAATCCATCAGATTCTAGAGGGAATATGATGGTGGAGATCAGAATAGACTTCACTTTGAAGAGAACAGATGAGAAAATATCCAGGAGAAATGTCAGTTCACAGGAATGAAGGGAAAATATCTGAAATAAGAAAAACTGTTCTGTTCGTATTTTGCATTTCTTGTGTTTACCAAATGGGCATGAAGGCAGGTAACATGTTACATAAAATTGTTTCTAGTGAGTAGGGAGATGACTTTAAGTTCATATGAGCCAAGAAGTTTAGTTCACAGTGCAAGCTAATTAGAACCTCTTCAGCTAAAAGTGGTCAAGCAATCAATATATAAATAAAATAGCAGAGGCTCAAAGACAAACTCTTTTTCTTTTTTTTTGAGTTGGAGTCTCACTCTGTCACCCAGACTGGAGTGCAGCGGCCGCTCCCGGTCACCGCAGCCTCGACCTGCTGGGCTCCGGCGATCCTTCCGCCTCAGCCTTCTGAGTAGCCGGAATTACAGGCGCACGCTACCACGCCCGGCTGATTTTTTGATTTATTGTAGAGATGAGGTCTCGCTGCCCAGGTGACAAACTCTTTTTCAATCACCAGTAAATCTATTCGACTTATTACAACCACCTTCAAGAGTTTTGTTCAATAAACCAGGGCACAGAGAATGAGAGCGTGCCCATGTAAAGAAAATATCAAATAGATTTAAAGTATTTCTCACAGAAACACAGGATCTCCAGGAAAGTAGCTAAAATTCACTCTAATCTCATCTTGGCCTTCTTACAGCCAAGGTGTATTATTCAACAGAGGTGAGTTTCCAGTTGGTATTGGATGTACTTGTTGCCAACCGGTTCTAAAGAGCATTCAGCTAAGTCCTAAAACCTAGCAAAGCCTCTGACTCCAAGTCAAGCATGTTAAGAAATCATTCTCAGTTCAACTGGACCATAGGCCATCCTAATGACTTAGTCATTCAGTAATTTGGGTCTGACTTTATTCATGTTGGCAAGTGATTCTGACAACTGTGGAAGGTTAAATGAAGCACTCCATGGTCTAGGTCTTTATTGATTGCACTTGTTGGAAAGACAAAGCTCATCTGGTTTAAAATACAATAGAACAGTGTGGTAGCACTATTGTAGTCTAGTTAGGTGCTTTAGAACAGGGAATTTTGGAAGTAGAGATACCTCAATTTCTGCTTCCAGTGGGCTCTGCCATGTCCAGCTCAGTGACCTTGAGCAGGTTATCTAATCTTTAAGAATCTCAATTTTCCCATTTGCCAATGGGTATAAAGCATAGCATTTTATCTTGCATTTCCTATGATCATGAAATAGGAAATGACTGTAAAGCATGTAACACAGTTCTCTGTGGAGAGTATTCAGTCCATAGTATCAGGTAAAAGCTATTTTTATTAGTGAGGGTGCTCACAAGGATTTTGTCATTATCTAACTTTCCTGAGTTTTGGTTTTCTAAACTGTTATATAGAAGTAATACTATTATCTGTCACTTAGTGCTGATGTGGTTAAATGTGAAGTGCTTAGTTCAGGGCTGGCACACTGCAATCATTCAATAAATGTTAGCCATTGCTTTATAGTTATTATTAAAAATTGTTGTCTTTGAGATCCAGATAAAATCTTAGTCACATCTTTATACTAGGTAGACTGGGGAGTTAATGAAAAGTAACCTTTTAGGAGCGAAAGAATGGTGAAGCTACTTATGTTGCTGAAGCTCAGTGTGGCATATATTGTGGTGGTCACCCATATGCTCTCAGAACTCCCCATTGTTCGTAGTTACCTAATAATCCCCAATTGCTAGCACTGGCCCCGCTGCCCGAAGCTTTCTCTGTCTGCTGTATCTCCTTCACAGGGTGGTCTGAAAGTGCTGGGAAATCATCATTCTCTCAAAGCAGCCCAAATGTAATGACTGGCAGGAGTAGGTAGATAAATACCACAGCTCCTTTCCCCGCTGCTTGGGCTGTGAGCTGTGTTCTACTGTGTTTCATATTCTCCAGTGGAATGGAGCCCATTGCCCACACTGTAATCTTCTCCATAAGACAAGATTTATTGGCTTCCTTCTCTTCCTTGGCAAATTTCCCCAACCTCCTACTTGTACTTAAATTCTTGTCTCAAAGACAGTTGGCTTCCAGAGAAACTCAATTTAAGACACTTAGTTTCAGATGGGGACAATGACATCTACCCTTTTGCATGGTCAATAAGAGATCAAATTAAATCATAGATGTCATAACCTTCCAACAGCACAAAGTGCTTTTTGTAAGTAAAGGCTTATCATTTTTCTGCCAGTATTTAAGATGTCCTCAAATCAGCATTTAAGACCCAAGAACCGGCCTGGACTGTTACTGGGCACTAATGGGGCTCCCATCTTAATTCAGGCTGCCATGTTCTCATTTCAGGTCTTCTGGCATCTTATCCTGTGCCCATCATCATTTAACTCCATTGCTTTCCTTCATGCCATCCTATTTTACTTCCTCTTTAACATTTATCACGATTTGAATTTATCTTATTTCCCCAATACTGGTCTATAAACTCCATGCACTCCAGGATAATGACTATCTTCTTCAAATCTGTATCCCCAGCACCTGGGACAGAGCTTGGCATATGGTAGGTATTCCATAAATAGCTGTTGAATAAATTGATGTATTAATACTCCATTCTCAGCATTCCTATTTACAGGAAATTACAGAAATAGTACATGGAGTACCATGAGCCCTTCACTCTCTTTCCCCCAAAGGTGACATATTTCCTAATTTTAGTGCATTATCAAAGCCAAGAATTTGATAGCGGATCTTTTCAAAGTGAAAACTGAATCATGTCATTGCCCTGTTTATTTGCCCAGTAGCCTGTACCCAGATGTTGTCTAGACCCTGCTTTCAAGAGAACTCAAACCCAGAGAATGCCTACTGTGTTGCTGAAAGCTATTCTAATTCCTTTACATGGCTGCGTGACTTGATTTTCTCATCCTAGGAGAGAAAATCTAGGAGGCAAATATTACTGTTATCCCCATTGCAGAGCTGGGGCAACTGAATGGATAAGAGATCAAGTATCTTGCCAAAGGCCATTATTAACCCTCCCACAAACCAAAACGGTTGAAGGTGGTTTCTGGGGTGTTGCCTACCCTACATTTCCAGGCTGCACTTGCCTGTAGTCTGTGGCATCAGGAAACTCCCAGGCCTTTGGGGAAGGCATTAGGAAGAAAAAGAAGTGTCAAGGAAATGGCAGCACAGTTATTCTTACCCAGGTGATCTGATCTCAGAGCTCGTCCTTTTAACTTGACTGCTTTATCTCTTCCCAAAGAAGCAAACATTCAGGAAGGGGAATTCACCCCCTGACACACAGCTAGTGAGCAGTGAGATTGAGGTGCCAAATTAGGTCAAACTCACCTGCTACACTGATTACTCCTCTTTTTTAAAAGGCCAGCTCTACTGCTTGCTTGAAACCCTAAGGAAGAAGTGAGTTTAACAAAATCCCCATTGGATTACAGCAACTCTTTATTGCAAATCTGCAGCAGACTGTGGAAGTGTGTCTCTGTCTCAATCAGGGAATGTAATGTTTTCCATTTATCAGAGCCCCGATGTACTTCAGAACTCTTAAGACTGGTAAAAATCACTGCTGGTTATGAGAATTTTCTACGTTGGAGAGTTGATGACAGTTTATGAAGCAGAGGCCACTTTCTTTTCCCGGAGAGTGCTGCAGGAAGCAGTCAAATCCAGCCATCATCCCAGGAAATAAGAAGGAAGAGGTTGAGGGGAGGACTCATGCCACTTCTCTTCCCACTCCCGGCCCACTGCCTAAAAGATGTGAGGAGTTGAGACTTATTTCTTACCCTCAGGATGTCCTTCTCTCTGTCCTCCTCTAATCCACTCTCTACTCTGTAACCACTGAGGTACTTTCAGAATGCTAATCTCATCATATTCCTCCCTGCTTAAAACATCCTTCAGTGCTTTTCCTTAGCTTCTTTAGGATAAAGGCAGAACTCCTGATTAGGCCTTCAAGCAGGTTTCACCCATGCCCCCATAAGCAGTCACACTTCGTTCAAAGGTCCCGTGCTCATTATACTCTGATAACTGCACATATCCTTCCTTCCTCCTACCATCAGAGAGCTTTGCCAGGCTGTTCTCTACCTGAGACATGCTTCTCTTCCACCTTATTCTTGCTAAACCGTGTGTAGTCTTTAGGTCTAAAGCTCCTTAACAACTCCCTAATTACTCCAGCCTCTTGGATGGATGTTTCTGTGGAATCACATCCCTCTCTTTGTTGTACTCAGCATAACTGAAATGTGATTATTTTAATGTATATCTCCCTAATAGAGTATAAGTTTCTGAATAGGGCCTGTTTCTGCTTTTGTTCTCTATTGCATCCCTGGTGGCTTGCACAGTGATGGGTGCATAGGAAATCCTAGAATGGTAGGATGAATGAACACACAGGGCTCATGGAACAAAGACAGGGTAAGAAATTGGAAACACTGCCTTTAACCCTTATTCTTTTATTGTTAAGGTCAATCAGGTTCTATTTGTTGTAATTTTCCATTGTCCAGCCAGCTTTGTATGCAATAACTTTATTAAGGTCAAATAGATATCACAATACAGATTTATCCAACAGGATCCAGAAACTGGTTACAGATATCATCTAAGACACACGGCTGTTTTGTGCTAAAATGCTTCCAACATCACTGATCACATACAGAGTTTATACATTGATAATAACTTTTATCTGGAAATACAGATGCTAAGCTTGCCCTCTCTATTGGGCCGTGGTGTTTCAATTGAGTTAAAACAAAGAGGTGAAGATTAGTATTTTCTTGATAACAAATACATTCTGGGGAATATTTCATAAGAACCCTCCGTGGGATATAGAGTGGCACATGGAAGCCAATTTAATTCATGGGTTACGCTCAAATCAGAATTATTAATTGGGAAGTTGAGCTGTGACTTGAGAATTTTTAATAATTAGATGGAGAAACATATTAATTTTACAAATAAATAGTATTGAAAGTTTAGCTGGTAGTACAGATTCTACTGAAAATCCCTAATAAACTAGTACTTCAGCATGGCAGCATCTTGACTATGGTATCTATATCTGCATCTCCATTATTCTAAGGAAACAACACTCCATAAACACAAACAGGTATTGTGTCCACAAGATAAGAGCCACAAACATCATAGAAGATTACAAGATTATAAATATTTAGCTAAGTAAATAGAATAAATATTGGGCAGTTACCATACGTAACACTTAATGTCCACTAATGGGGGGAAAAAACCCAAATATTAGTTACAATGCATTCAGACTTGGTTAAACCAGAGAGACAAATTTGCAAAGTATACAAAGTACTGAACATGTTTTTAGACGTCCATTTGACAAATTCATGGTGCAAACTGGAAAATTTTCATAAATACAGTTCAAATATTCATTGTGTGAGAAAATGCTTATTCATGCACTAAATCATATGAGCATTGATTCATCAAGTTAAAAAATACATAATAATTGTCTGAAACCAGATATTTAGAGACTCATACTCCTACAGGGCCTAAAACTAAAAAATAGTAAGACATGCATATTGTAATACACCAAATTTTCTTCTAGAAATCATTATAATGTCCTTTGCATCAAAATGCATAGGAAAACTCAATGCTATTTGATTTACTTTACTAGAGATTTTAAGCTACAAAATGCTTCTACGACCTCAACACACAAACAAAACGACCATGAAAGTATCTTGTATATAGCAAGGTACTCTTCAATTAGCCATCTGTAATAAATAATATATCTATCTCTTCATGTCGCCTCGTCTCTAAGTACCATTTATCACAACCCAGGTCTTTCTACCTTAATGAGGACTAGAAATCTCTGATTTACATTCAATACTCTCTGCATTAATAATTAATTGAAACTCTTAAAAAATTCTTCTGCCACTGAAATAGAAGGTGGTGGGGCTATCTCCAGAAGAATGCAAATGCTACTCTGTTAAATCTGATTGGTAAAGGAAGTGGGGCCACTAGGTTGTTGGCCAAACTCATCTGAGGATGGCCCCAAACTTGCCTGCTGGCTATACCCACCACTTGAACCATAGCTGTCTTGGTTGTAACCACCTTGATTATAGCTGCTAGAGTGCTTCTCCATTGGGTCTGAAAGATATCTTTGACCCGAGGAATGCCAGCCAGTCTCCTTGAAAACAAACCATATGTTTCCAGCCCAGAGGATAAAGTTCAAGAATCCAAAGACCTGAAAGAGAATCAAAGTCAATGAGTTGATAAACTAGACAAAAACTCCATAAAAATATCAATTTTGGAAAAAATTATCCACAATAAGAAAGATCACTTTTCACTTTTATGTCATATCCTCTTCTAACTTCTCATTTGGAATCACTATTTCATTTTAAATAGCTGATCTTTATTGAATGTACTACATGTCAGGCACTGCATAAAAAGTTATAAAGTATATTGATTCACTTAGTCTAAGAATCGGTCTAAGGGAAAGGAGCGATTTTTATATCCATGTTAAAGAAGTGGAAATCTTGTCCAAAGTCACATGGTTTGGTGAATAGTAGATCTGGAATTCAAGCCTTGTTCTAACTCCCTAGCCTGAAAGCTTACTGAAGTCATTATTATCTCTCCAAATGAAGTATCCTTTATGGTGTGTAAGATTATTTTCAGGTGGCACAGGGTTGTGCATTTTCATTTTAATAATGGTGCATTAATTTATAGGGTCATCTCTTTATTGCTAGTGATACTGCTTTTCTATTTATTGTAATCATATCAAGAAAATGAGTCAAGTTAAAGGAAAATATGAATTAAGGAATGGTACTGGTGGCATACAGATAAGCACATGCATAATAGCCTATATAGAGGTTGAGTCTTTGAATAGCCTCTCATATTCAGAAGTAAATGCTGAAATTAGGCTAGGAATAAAGTGCATGTTTCAGAAAAGTATGAAATGATTATCTCAAGAACTGGGTGTGAGACTTTCCTATGAAAATTCCTCTTATCCTCCAGAAGTTGTTGTGAGTCAGGGTACTGGGTGTTTGATGGAAGGGACCAAGTGTTTGATGGAAGCTGGACTGTTTGCTATTGCAAGGGGCCCAAACAGAAGTTCCCATTCCATGGGTTGTTCTGCGGCTTTTCCCAATGCTGACTGATTGACTTAGGAATTAACCATGGGCAGTGTGTTTTAACAGCCCCTTATTAGAGACAGATAACAAGTATGATACACAGTTGCGATAACATTCAAGTATATTTAGTCACCACTCCAGCATGACACTGACTAATCAAGATGGATTTGGGTAGTTGCCATAGCTCTGGAGTAGGTTGCTGGAAGTCCCTTTTTGGGTCACCTATCCCTTGGTTTTTGGATGGTGGGGTAATCTAGAGTGCCCTGTAGGTGGTGGTTGTAGAGGGGGTAGTGGTGTAGTCAAGACACAGGGCCTTCAGAGTTTAGAGCAGGGACTTTTACCAAAGGATTTCAATATTTTAGCAGCATACTAACTGAATGTCAGTTTTGGAGTAATCCCCACAGGCTTTGGAATCAGAGTGGCTGGAATACTATACTTTCTACAGGCTGGATCAAGGCATTTAATCTCTAGACTTTACTCTTGTTTTTGTGTTTTTCTTCTATGGAAAGAAGACAAGAGTTCCTTTCTTAGGGGTAGTTGAGAGGATTAAAGAGAATGTGTGTAAAACAGATAGTGCCAGACACATTAGCAAATACTAAATGGTAAATTATGCTCTGAATCACTTTCTAAAATATTTCTGTGAATTGTATTTTGTTGATTTTTTTTTTTCTGCTGACAGCAGAAATTGAAGTGGGGCTTTAACAGTGAGGCCTTATTCCTGAGAAATGACTATAGACAAAACAGTGTATCTAGAGCCCCAACTGATCTACTTAAAGACTTGCTTATCCAGCCCCCATCTCTTCCTCCCTTTTAACTTCCTTCTCTCCTATTATATCCTATTTCCTTCAGAACCTATTTTGTGCCATGATCTAGGGTACCTGCCAAGGGAGATAAAAAACCAAAATAAGATGTAACAGTTGCTTGAACAAAATAATTAGGTAATTACTGACTAAACTCTAATTTACATATAGGACCTTTTAAACATGTGTAGAGTAACTGGGATATTTTCCATTAAACAGAAGATGTTGATGAAATTGCAGTTTCATAAGTGTATGTCAATATATGAGTATATAAAATTATAAAGGGATCTTTTAAGATGAGATTGGGCAAATTCAGGGTAGTATGATCTTTTCAGATATGAAGGATGACTCTGCTCAGGAATGTAATTTTATCTGTTTCCTATCTCATAGTCTCTCTATTTTCTCTGTTACTATTTGGTTTTTTAAAAAGAAATGCTAGAGAAGAAATAAGGGAAATGCAACTTCAGAGTAAGAACATAAACAAGGCGTTCCCATGGACATATTTCAAGAGCACTGATTTCTTACTCCAGTGTCACAGAGGTATCACATTTTAAGAGCATGGAGGCCCTTGAATTTTTTTCTTGCCACTTAGTTGAAACTGAAATCAAGGGAAAGATTTAAACTCAGATATGGGGACAATAGAAAGAGAGATTAAAGGAGACTGTACATAGCATGAGAAAGAATAGGGAGATAAAACCTAGATTATTCAAAAAGATGTGTCAAGATTGTCCGGAGTGATGCTATAGAAACAGAAGTATAAACTACAGCTAAAATAACTATGCTCAGCGAAGCTTTAAAAGAAACAGAGAAACTAAAAAACATTATTCCTCCCTCCCCTCTTTAGGTTCTAACACTAAGTGACATTTAAGAAAGTGAATATGTTTTAGTAGCAGCTTTCAGTTGACACTCAGCATGTGACATAAGCTGGGCACTGTGCTAAGTATTTTTCATGGATTATTTCACTGAATTCTTTCAACAGTCTTGAGATCTGTTGTACAATTATTGCCATTCTATAGATGATAAAACTAAAGTTTAGAAAGTTTAAGTAATTTGTCTAAGGGCAGTCAATTATTGAGTAATGGAATCCGTATTTAGACCCTGGCAGACTGACTCCAGTCTTAGCCGTTTTGAATGGCAACAACATTAGGAAAGTTTAAAACTAGTTCTTTGTAACTGGGAATTTATGCAAGTCCTTCAACTTTAGCTTCTGGTATGTGTAGTATCTGGATATCTTACCTACATTTTAGTGTTATTATGAAATTATAGATTACTAAGTACTTCGAAGAAAGTAAATTTGTTACTAAAGTAGAAAATATGATGATTGTTTCCTGATTCATTTACTTGTAGGGGTCATTTATTGGGGTATATGTCTGACTCCTTCTCTAAAACCTGTATTTCCCCAGTAGGGTGGGTTCTGCGAGTTATGTTTCTATTACATGATTCCCTAACCCTCCCCCCCATGTCCTTAACCGATGAGACTGAGGTGAACATTTGGCCTAACGGGCTAATGAGGTTCTCTACCAGAAATTTGAAATTGGACCTGAGTGATTTTAGTTTAGTCCAAGTTGTTTCTTTAAAAAGAAATGTAAACTTAGAAACTGTAGGATGGCTATCTTCTGTTGAGTGTACAGGAAAAGGAGATAGAATTTCATCTGAAAAGAGAGAATAATGTAATCAACATGCAGAAAGAGATACAGATGTACAAAGAAATAGAGATAAGAGATAGAGAATGAGAACGGTCCAGCTTTCTGGCAGTCTTCCAATTCTTGGCCCTGAGTTCTGTCTTGGGAAGGCACATTTTTAGTGTCTTTCCAATTATTTTCAGTTTTGCATAAGCTATATCAATAAGATTTGAAGTCAAACAATTTGTAATAAACAATGTTGTTTTGGCTGATTAATATCCCTTCCCCTGCTTTTGGTAATAGAAATCCGATTATCTTTGCAGAGCCAAAGTGCAATCAAATGGCTTGATCTCTCTCCTAGAACTGTGTATCCTGAGCAGAGTAATGCAAGGTTTGGTAAAGCTTCTTACTAAAGGCAATTCAGAGACTATGCTTTGATACTGGACATCTAAAACCCTGGTTCTGCTCTAGATTCTTCTCTTTCCATAGCTTGTTTTTTCAGGTCTCATCAAATTAATGAACTACTTGCTGTCCTCCCAAAGAAATTTTTCCTGATGAAGTCAGAATCAGTTTCAGTTACTTGCAACTCAAATATTCTTATGTGTGTAGACACTGGTAGACACCAGAAGTGAGGTGCAAAGAACAGACTTTAGGGATATAGAGATTATTTTGCTTTAGCCAGTTTGAATTGAGTTTTCCGTGATGAGGTACTAGAAGACTCTTAGCAGACACGAACATATCACTATAAAATCAATGGACCTGCAAGAACCTGGAACCAATCATGCTGTCCATCAAAAGAGGACTGTATTAAAAAAATGTGGTACATATACATGATGGAATACTATGCAGCCATAGAAAAGAACAAAATCATGAATTTCGCAGCAACCTGGATGGAACTAGAGTCTATAATACTGAGTGATCTCTCACAGAAACAAAGATCTGAGTATCACATGTTCTCACTCATATAGTGGACCTTCAACATCTACCATAATACTATTAAAAAAAGGACTGACAATGGTGGGAAACTATGGGAGGGGGTAGGGAGGGGAAGAGAGGTGGGACTAACGGTAGTCAATATCTGTCTGGGGATGGGGAGATGCCCCTAATTAACAAGGGTGGCTGAACGATGCACATTTGTATACCTAACCCTTAACTGTACCCCACAATTTTATAATAAAAATATGTTAAAAAAATAAAATAAAATAAAATCACTGGACCTTTCTTTTCACACACATCATATTATTTGGTTTCATTCTATTCTTTTAGTTTTAGAAGATACATCACATTGTTTTTCATTCATAATTTTTATCTTCTAGTCTAAAAATTATGAGAGATATCACAAGTGAAATTAAAAGAACCATGCAAGATGTCATATTTATCGGGAGATTAATTATTAAACTAACAAACACATCAAGCAATTTTATCTTTGTCCTCTTGGATTTTGAGATCAGGGTTACAATAACTTTCATTGAATACTGTCTATAAACAAATTACAGAAGCATCATTATATATGTTAATGTATATTTCATATTATTCATCTATGGATGCGGCTAGTAGTAAATAAAAATGATTGTGAGACCCTAATACAGAGTTTATTTCCATGGTTACTATCTTACCAAGGCAAGATCCACAGTAAAATCAGAATAGCAACCTCTTTTCCTTTCAAAAGTCCCTTCCCAGATTGAATTTCAGAAAACTGTAGAAACAGGTTAATCTTAAAGCAAAGATAATTATTTTTAGAGTTTGCTAAAGAATGTTGTTCCTTCAGCAAACACTACTGAGTCTCTACTCTTTGATAACTGCTGCTTTTTACTACCATTATAGCTTGTCTTTCTCAGGTATGACTTGTTTCTTTGAAATAACTTAATTTATAAATCCTTACAAATTAAGAATCCGATTTAGTGTACCTGTTGTCAGATTTTGTTTCTAAAAGAGCCGTACAGCCGGGCTCGGTGGCTCAGCCTGTAATCCCGTGCCTTTGGGAGGCTGAGGTGAGTGGATTGCCTGAGCCCGCGGGTTTGAGACCCGCCTGGGCAGCGAGACCTCATCTCTACAATAAATCAAAAAATCAGTCGGGCGTGGTAGCGCATGCCTGTAATTCCGGCTACTTGGAAGGCTGAGGTGGAAGGATTGCCGGAGCACAGCAGGTCGAGGTTGCGGGGGCCGGGAGCGGCCAGTTTCGGCGACAGAGTGAGACTCCAACTCAAAAAAAAAACCAAAACAACAAAAAAAGAGCCATACACTTGGTGATAATATTTGTTCAGCTAATACAGCACAGCTTTTTTGAGGTTATTAAGCAACTAAACCAGGAGAATGGAGAAAATTAAAAACTTCCATAACTATTATAAGTACTTTTCTATACCATGTGTTTTTCTTTGCACCCTACTAGGTCTGTGTATGTTTTTCTCATCAATTGAGTATATTCTAACTACATATGGCTTGAACAATGTTTTCTTCCCAGGAACGTGTATGTCATCAAATATTCCTTTTAACTTCTGGCAGGCTTCAGCCTTAACATCCAGATTTTATGTTTGCTTCTGGCTTAGAGTTTCAACTGGACTGTCATCTAAGCAGCAGCTGCTAATACCTGCTGGGTTCTTATTAAGAACTCAGTAGCTGGCAGCATTAAAGATGATGAGTTCTGACAACAAAAAACTTGAAGGCCAAATGATCATTGTGCACCTGAAGTGAAATATCACCTTTTTGACTGGCTTAGTATTAGAGGCATTTTCAAGATGACTCCTGAATTTTTTTATTCATTTGACTGTTAAAAAAGATGTGAGAAGTAAAGCATAGATGAAAATGTACTTACCACAGAAGTGTTTAAGCTGGACATAACAGGGCTGTGGACAGCCATGCATTTGTTGGATGGCTGTTTGCAAGCTGACATCAGTAACAATACTTCCTTGGGATCTGTGGCGACTTTGACGTCAGACAGCCCTTTTGCCCAAGCAGATGAACCCACCAACCACAAGAATGAAAACACTACAGTGACGATGAAGTCCTACAGAAATAAACAGAAAGATAAAACCATCAAAGGAGATGTGAGTTCTAGAAAATATTGATTATATAACTATTTGGTTTGATTTTAGGAAAATTTTAAGGTCCTATAGAATAAGAACCAGAAAAAACATTTAAAAAACTAAAATAAAAGAAAGATTTGTGATATATTTATATTTCTAGAACATGAATAATAATGGTAACATTTATTGAATGCATACTATGCCCCAGGAATGATGCTAAGGACTTTATGACCCTCATCTAATTGTTCCTACAACATTCCTGTAAGAGATGTCACATACTATCTGCTGATGTCAAACTATCACAGATAATGGTTAAACAGCTTGTCTGAGACTCTGCAGATAATCAATGATGGCATCAGGGTTCAACCCCAGGAAACCTGACTACTAAGTCCAAGCTCTTAACCACCAAGTTGCCATGATTTAAAGCATTTAGAGAGATTTGCGAATTTTTAAAGATTCCTGGATGGCAACATTCATTTGTTCATTTAACAAATCTGTGTGTCATCTATTGTATGCTTGGAATTGTGTTTAGAGGGAGACAATAATAGCTATAATGCTTTGAGCACTATAGGTGAGACGTTTCACAAAAATTAACCTTAAAACAATTATGTTAGACAGTATTTTTAATGTTCATTTTAAAGAGGAAGAAACTGATACACCGAGATATAAGTTAACACATAGAAAAAGTGGTAGCGCTTGAATTCAAATTGGGGTCTAACTCTGAAAACCGTCCGCTATGTGTGCAAGGGAAAGTTTCTTTATTTGTAACAAAAATAAATCTCAATAATGTTAGGGGATGAACATTTTTAGAGAACATCTTCAAATTTCTGCTGATGGGAGTTACTTCCATACCCTTTCTCATGGCTTACACAAGGTGGTAGGTAGAAGTTGCTGTTCAACACAAACCATGTTCTAGTAGGATAATTTTTTCAGATTTGCTATATTTATGTTTGACTATTGTAAAAATTTTGCATGCTGCTTACCTAAAGTAAGGAAAATACTGAACAGGAAATAAAAAGAGTAAATTTGATATACCAACAGAAATAGGCCACTCTTTTATTCTAAATAATAACCACCTCAAGTAGAAGACTTGGTGTGTGTTTTTTTCCTACCCAAGGACATGGTGCATCTGGCTTAATCTGGTTCTCTTGCCATCATAGTATAACTGAACTAAATCATCAAGATCCTGTGGTCTACACCAAGGGAACTCTTACTCTCTAAAGACTCTGTACTGCCTGACGTTTATCAGGTGCAACCTTTTGGAGAATAGTTTGGAGGATCTCACTACTATGAGTGGCTGACTCTTCTGGGCAATTAATCTCATTTCATCCAGGGGCTGTTGTATTATGTAGCTTTCCAATTAGTCTTCTGAATTACGTAACTTTTTGTTTACCTTTCTATGTTGGCTCTAAAAAATTAAGGACTAATGTGTGATGTACTCCATAGGATTTTTATGGCATGAGTATTTTCACCCTATTCCTTAGTTTGTATTATATACCCATTTGTCTTTTCCTTTATTTACAATTAATGCCATCTTGGGGTTTAAATATCCTTATGAGTCATCTTTTGTTCTTTCTGAAATGAGGTGAAGATATAAACAAACAAGGTAACAAATATAATATCCACAGCAGTTTCAACATTAATAACAACATTTGAACCAATACCAGGGTGTTTTGATTATTGTAGCCTTATAATAAAGTTTAAAGTCTGGAAGTATGATACCCCCTCCTTTGTTTCTTTTTCTGAACATTGTTTTGGCTATTTGTGGTTGGTTATGTTTCCATATGAATTTCTGTGTTGTTGTTTTCAGATCTGAGAAAAATGATGCTGGTAATTTAATGGGTGTTGCATTACATCTGTAAATTGCCTTGGGTAGGATGGACATATTAACAATGTTGATTCTTCCAATCCATGAGCATGGAATATTTTTCCATTTGTGTCATCTTTGATTTCTTTGAACAGTGTTTTGTAGTTTTCATTGCAAAGGTCTTTCACTTCGCTGGTTAGGAAGATGCAAAGGTAATTCATTTTTTTGTGGCTATTGTGAATGGGATTGTGCTTTTTATTTGGGTTTCTGTTTAGGCCAATGGAACAGAATAGAGATTTCAGAAGCAAAACCTTAATTTTTCAACCAACTCATCTTCAACAAAGCCTCCACCACAACCATCGGAGAGGAGAACCTACTCAGTAAATGGTGCTGGGAAAACTAGCTGACCACATGCAGAAGATTAAAAGACTCCTACCTATACCCAAAAATCAACTCTAAATGGATCAAAGACCTAAATGTAAAACCTCAAACTATAATAACCTTAGAAAATACAGGAGATATCCTTATGGAAATTGGAACTGGCAACCAATTCCTTATCAAAACCCCAAATGCTCATGCCACGAGGGATAAGATAGACAAGTGGGACCTCATCAAACTGAAAAACTTCTGAAAAGTCAAAGAAACCAACACGAGAGTAGGTAGACAGCCCACAGAATGAGAAAAAATATTTACCAAATGTATAACTGACAAAGGCCTAACATCCAGTATGTATAAGGAACTCAAATGTGCCGAAAAGAAAAAACAAACAGCCCCATTTCAAAGTGGGCAAAAGTTAGACATAGATAGTTCTCAAAAGAAGACATACGAGCAGCCAACAGATACACGAAAAAATGCTCAGCCTCACTAATCGTCAAAGAAATGCAAATCAAAGCCACAATGAACTACCACCTAACTCCAATCAGGATGGCCATCATCAATAACAAAAAATAACAGATGCTGAAGAAGATGCAGGGAAAAGTAAACACTTCTACACTGTTGGTAGGAGTGTAAACTAGTATAACCTCTGTGGAAATCAGTTTGGCAATTCCTAAAAGATCTAAAAATTGACCTTTCGTATGACCCTGCAATCCCCCTTCTGGGAATATACCCAGAAGAACCCAAATCATTCTATGAAAAAGATACCTGCATATGTATGTTTATTGCAGCTTTATTCACAATAGCAAAAACATGGAACAAACCGTGCTGCCCATTGAAAGAGGACTGGATAAAAAAATGTGGTACATATACATGATGGAATATTATGCAGCCATAAAGAAGGGCAAAATTATGAACTTTGCAGCAACTTGGATGGAAGTAGAGTTTATAATAGTGAGTGACCTATCACAGAAACAAGAAATGAGTACCACATGTTCTCACTCATAAGCAGACCTTGAACAATTATCATAATACTAAAAGAAAGGGATTGGCAGTAGTGGGAAACTGCCAGAGGAGGGAGGGGGGCACACCTCATCAACAAGAGTACCTATATAATGACCATTTGTATACCTTACCCAGAATTGTACCCCACATTTTAAAAAAGCACATTTGGAATAAAGAAACTCAAGTGTTTGGGTTTATTTTAGAAATTAGAGGAGTGATTATAAGTAAATAAGCCAAAGTGACTGTGTCAAATCACAACTTTCTGTTCATGTTCAGTCTGGTATCTTAATTCATTCATCTATTCATTCTTTCATTCACACATTCATTCAAGTAGCAATTTTTGAGTAATGTGCTAGGTATTTAGATAAAAATGTAAAATAGAAAATCTACTCTTTTATTCATTTATTTATTTTTTAAGAGATAGGGTCCCATTCTGTCACTCAAGCTGGAGTACAGTGGTGTGGACATGCTTATGGCTCACTGCAGCCTCAAGCTCCTGGTCTCAAGTCTCAAACTCCTAAGTAGCTGAGACTACAGGTGGATTGTGTTACCACACCTGGCTAATTTTTCTGGGTTTTTTTGGTTGTTGTTGCTATTTTTAAGAGATGGGGGTCTCTCCATGCTGCTCAGGCTGGTCTCAAACTCCTGGCCTCACATGATCCTCCTCAGTCTCCCAAAACATTGTGATTACAGGCATGAACTACTATGCCTTGCCATGTTCTCTTGATATTACATATTTGTTAGAACCCATAGTTACCACATAATTCTAACTACAGGATAAAGATTGTCATTATTTATACTCATAATTAGAGGCAGACTTGTTGAAAGGCCAGTAGGATGAAGAAACACTCAAGAAAAGAGTACAGTCATGTGAAGAACTTTTGACTAGAAATTGAAAAAAATGTCAGAACTTTTAGATTTATTTGTTCAAATAATAATAATAATACCTTACATTTATTGAGCACTTACTATGTGGCAAGTATTATTTCAAGTTGACCTGTATTAACTCATTTAATTCTGACAATAGCACTGTAAAATAGATGCTAATCCTGTCCCCAGTATTCATTTCACAAAACTGAGATACAAAGAGGTTAAATAACTCCAAGTCATCAGTTAGTAGGTGGAGAACTGGTAAGCCTGACCATCTGAGTCCAGGACTGTGCACTTGACTATTCTCATGTTTGCTTCTCATGTTTGCTTCATGGAATGCTGATCTTCCTATTTAAAATAAGGATACTAAATAACTTTAAGAAGTTGGATCTGGAAATGGCCAACTAGAGACATCCAGCGACTGCTGCTCCCAGCGAGAGAATCTAAATTCTGCCTGGAAATCCATGCTAAGGTTTGTTGCATGGACACCTCGGGACACAGAGAATGGTCAGTTCCAGGCCACAACCACTTCCAGGATGGGCCCCAGCATGGGATCTGGAGAGCACGCTTGGTGACGGAAGCGGTCAGTGAATGGGAGAGGGTTGCTCACCTCCCACGAACGCTGTGGTCCTAGCTAGGGGAGAGTCAACCTAGACCTCCCCTCACATCTGCCAGGCACAGAAAACTGCCTGAAATCAGAACGGTTACCAGCCGGCTCCATGTGGCACCCAGAGAGAACTCCGCACCCGGGTGAGTCTCAGCGCCAGCAGTCGGCAGCGGGACACACCCTGCAGGAGTGGCATGGGCCGCCTGGGTGCTCTCCTTCCCTCCACCTCCAATCCCCAGCCAAAACAACGTGCCCGCTTTGGCAACGTTTTCCTGGTGGCACTGGTGCCTGCCCCAGCCCCAGTTCAGGGCTG